TGATCGTCTTCTGGATATTGCTGATGAGCAGACACCACTTCAAAATGCTTTTCTTCTTGCTGACGATGTACTTTGTCAAGGCGTTCAAGGAATATCTGATATAATCACTGTGAGTTCCTTCATCAAAATGCAGTATCTCTTTTTAAATCAGCGAAGGTTTCACAGAAGTTCTTTTCTTTTTCTTTCAGTATCTGTTCCACACAAGTTCTCTTTTGAAATTTCACGGGACCGGAGACAAATAATTCATATAACCAACTCAACTAATTTGGGATTGAGGTAGTTGATATATAATATAAGCTGTTGTACTGGGTTTATTTTACTTTCCTATACGCACATAATCCCCTCTTGCTCTCCCTGTTATGAAACACACTTGCGATCACATGCACAGTCGCAGAAATAGGCCTTGTTATTTTGTTGTCAACATTGCATGTTTTCGGACTGGAAATAAGGTGCAAAAATGTTAAAAATATGCTAGCGGAGAGTGCACGTTGCCTTCCTCTCTTGAGTCCGTTCAGTTTAATATTTCATTAGCTGCTTCTATGTTTTGATTAATGACCATGGGATAGGTTTTCTGAATTGAACTTATATCTCCAGAATGTTATGTTTGTCTAATATCCTTTAAGGGCTCAACAAATTAAAACTGGGTAGTGACATTTGAGATAATTACTAGATAGCATGTTTTAAACATTGTTTCACTAGATACTTATTTATAGATCTGGATATAAAGTTTATTGTTAATCCATTCGTTTTGGTTGCAGATACCTGGGCTGGTAAATGTGGATTTTGCAGATGTAAAGGCAATCATGAAAGATTCTGGAACTGCTATGCTTGGAGTTGGGGTTTCTTCCAGTAGGAATCGTGCAGAGGAAGCAGCTGAACAAGCAACTCTGGCCCCTCTCATTGGATCGTCAATTCAATCTGCAACTGGTGTTGTATATAACATTACTGGAGGAAAAGATATTACTTTGCAGGAGGTGAATAAGGTGTCCCAGGTGCGTCGAACTTTCTTTTACTTATTTTATTTTTCCAAACCTTCAACTATACATGTAGTTTCACTCTATTCCAAAAAGTTCTTAAAAGAAACCTTCAGCTTTCACGTACAAAGCGGTATTTGTAATAGTCATTGCTTGGCAATACTTCCCCACAGGTTGTCACAAGCTTGGCTGATCCATCCGCCAACATCATATTCGGTGCTGTTGTGGATGAGCGCTATAATGGAGAGATCCACGTGACTCTAATTGCAACTGGTTTCGCACAGTCATTTCAGAATTCTCTTCTAACTGACCCTCGAGGAGCAAAGCTAGTTGATAAGAGCAAAGGAACCACAGAAAGAATGGTATCACCTGATACCTTGAGGTCATCAGACTCTCCTTCCACGAAACCTCGACCAGCTGTTCGGAGGTTGTTCTTTTAGCTCCTTCTTAGTATGTTATCTCTTCATTCTTTGTTTTTAGTAATTATTTTTTTGGGATTCCTTCACTTCTTTGTACCGCAACGGGTCAGATTGGTGTTTACATGTGGCTGTAGAAATCATGACGAGTTTTATTAGATGCATACCATCTCTGGTCTGTTTTCCTATTATAACGTGCCTGTAACATTTTTGTATCAGCTGATTATTTCCTCTCTAGCAAAGCATGGGGATTCATAATATTATCAACTTGGTTAAATTTGGTTGCTGTTCTAATTTTCACACAAACAACCTATTTATTACTAGTTTTTTAAGGTTTAACCATTTTGTCACGGATTACCTCAAGTTTGGACTAGAAATACCGTTCCTATTGGCAGATAGAGTCCTTAGAATTCACAGCTGAAAGTTCAAAACCATTCTGGACATCGAAGAACATCTGCAGAGAGCATTCTATTATCTGTGCTTAAGCCATCCGATTAACAGAACATTGCGCTTCAAACCGCGGTGCACAAGTGATACCAGAAAAAATCAGTAGCTTCTTTAAATCAAAACTATAAGAAATTGGATTAAATCAGTATCATTGTCTATTAAATGCTAAAATTAGTTATTTTAATTGCAAATTAAATTTTACTGTACTAAATATATGGATGTTTGGTATTTTTAAGATTTCCTGTAAATTGCACGATTCACTTCAAGAAGCATGGGCTTAGCTTCTCAATTTTCACGTCAAGCGCCATGAACCTTGTGACTTTTTTGCACTTTTCGCTTTTAATAATACTACGAAAGATGGACTAAAGTAAAGCGCAAAAATTATATAATTCTCTTATGAACTGATAAATGTCTAAGGAGGAATACGTGCTACCAAAACTCAAGTGGTGCCGAGAAGTCTTTGACGCCAAAAATCCATCGAGTTACATTTTGTGATTAGTATCATATTTGAGGAATGGGTTTAGTCCTCGTGTGGTCGCAATTAAAATCCGAAACGGCCATTTTTTAGCCAAATCTGGACCCATAACTGCAAAGTTTTAAGACTCTTTACATTCAATCCAGGAGTCAATCAACATCTCAACTTAAAGGACCAATGGGTTAAAAATTCGTGGAAGAACAGTACAGACAATGTGATTTTTAATACAAATTTGATTATGATTCATGTGATTGAAATATTAACATTTGCTCCTCACAACGAGGAAAGAATTGCTGCATAATTAAAGACATCCCTTAGAAAAACGGGGCAAACAAGCTTTAACAATTTTCAAGTTAAAAAACATGCCAAGTGGAACATGAGCTTAGAATCTGTCTTCAATACACAAAAATCAATGATCAATATCATGGAACATATCAAATCACCCAAGCAATGAATGAAAAAAGAAGCAGAGGGAAGCCTTAAGTTCTTCCAAGGCACACTCAATGTACATAGTTATTTTGCATTTACAGTTTACCTTTTCTTCCACCCATTTACAAATACTTGATCAACATATATATAACTGCAACAAGTATTACAATCCCAATCACAGATAAAAGCATGCACATGCAAGAGCAACCACCCTTTGATCGTTTGTTCAAAATTGCAAGCTTCCTCCCGACTCGCTGTTTAATTATCAGGAAAAAACAAGAGGAAACAGTAAGTTAAATGTGAACAGAGAATTATCAACAAGACAGTATTTAGAAGTAAAAAAAAATAAGGAAAGAACTGCCTCGCTCCAGACACTATCAATTTCCTGCAACTCGCACAGGTGCGCAAGAAAGCAGAAAACTGAAATCTCTCATCCATATTACCAACATTCATAGGATATAACTGCTTTGTTAACATGCATCGAGATCTCTTATATTCTCCCATCCAACAAAGACACACTCAAGCAATCAATACACAAGGCCAAGAAAACTTGAGAGAAATACACAGAAAAACTTTTTAGTGCAAGTCCACGAGGTCAAAGCAGCAGCAGCATACCCAAAAGTTTCCAGGTCAAACTCTTCATTCTCCTCAGAGCGCAGAGTTGGAAGTTCTCTGACTACGAATATTACGATTAACATATTTTTCCCTCTGATTGCAAGTTCATAAGTAACAAAATAATAGAACATTTTCTTTTCTTGTGTTCTCTTTGCCGCCGCCCATAGCTCCTAGAGAACGTGCTTTAATATCAAATGTGGATGGATCTAAAGCTTCTGGATAAGATTGTGGATTCGAGTAACTTTGTAATTTGCAAACTTCCCTAATTTCCAAAGATGATGGTATTCCCCCTTTCTTTATCAATCATGCACATATTTCTTGAGACTATATAGCTATATTTGCACATGAAAAGAAATAGATCATGCGTAGAAGTAGTGTATTTCATAGTGGACAGGTATCAGCTCCAAAATTCTACAAACTCCATTATGTGTATGAGAATCCATGGTGCAGAACACTATGTTTAGTAAAAAGAGTTAGTTTGTCTTTCTTCATCCGTGTGTGTACAGCGTACTCCAGGAAATTGTCACATGCCCCTCTTTTCCCATTTCTCTTTGGTGCATGTACAGCTGGAAGGACCCAAAATGGTATTGACTTCTACACTCAAACTTACTTGCATCTCACAATTCTTCAAAAAACGAATGAAAAGGATGATGTGGGGGTGTAATAACTTAATTTACAATTATTCAACATGTATCACATACGAACTCAAAATGGAATAGCTTTTTTTGTCTTTTCTCCAACTAAACGCGCCATGATTAATTATCCCAAATGATGGACCACCCTAGAAAATTTTCATTGAAGCTGAATGACGTTGGTAAATTAGTGAAGTTATGAAGTGCAATATCAGAAAAGTTTGTACCAACATTAACAACCAACAATATCAGGTTTGCATGAGCTGTTTCAAAAACGACAAAATTGTCACCTGAAGTCTTGAGTCAGTAACATCAACATGTTCATCTAGATCATCCTGCATTGAGTCAGACAATGAAAGCACGATGAAGTCAATATCCAACTTCAATAGTAGAAAAGCCATATTTCACAGGGAAAATAGGCTGTAGAGGTAGTTCAGTAGGAAGCAGCAAAATATAACTCATACAATGAGTCTTGTTTGCAAGCCGAGCTCCTCATTAACAGCCAATGCTATATGTTTGGTGCTTATCACAGTCTCCTCTAATTTCTCAAGCCCCTCATCTTGTTCTGCATCAATAGTAAAGCCAACAAATAACATATAAATGAAAAAGAAAAGCCAATAGCAAGAGAAGTTTTCAAAGTATATAACAACTTGCCCTTCATAATTTGCCTTTGAAGACCAACAACACTATAATTATCAAGGCCTGTAGTTCTGCTCATAGCATCTGCTGCCTTTGTTTCTGGTCCAAGCAAGCTGTCCCTATTGGCAAAGTTCGACATATTCAATGTGGAGGCCATTTGGGTTGCTTTTGATTTTAAATTTGCAAGCATATCCTTCCGACGATTCATCTCTTTCTCTGTCCTGCACACAAAGACGAAGAAGGCTTAACAAATCTATACAGAAGCGACATATAAATAGTAATGGCTATTAGGCCCACTGTTGTCAAAAGCTCATTTGAGGCACGCTTAAACCCTAAGCTCAAAAAAGCTCAGGAAATGCGCTTCGCCTCACTTAGGCTGCGCTTCAGTGTAAGCAAGGCACTAAGGCGTGCACCTCATTGCCTATAAGTTCTACCTTGAATAAAGCGGTACAAAACAATTACCATGATTGGCAAAAAGATATATTAATTGTTTCCGAAATCATTATGAATGAAATTGTCACTTTTTTCTTGCATTACATATATATTTTTAGTATTTTTTTCTTCACTGCGCCTTTATTAACCCACACTTTAATTGCGTTTTGCGCTTAAAGCCCTGATAGACTTGGAACGCTTTTTAATGCTTTTCGCCTTTGACGACACTGATTAGGCCAACTTGTTCAAAGAGACATATGGATAGACAACTGCTACAAATTCCTGTAAAGCTTGCCCCCTCCCCCTCAAGATTTGAAAGGATACTATTTCCAAAGTACAAAAGTAAAAGTTCTGCAAACTAACACAACTAAGACTCGGGACATCGTTAACAGTGACTACAGAAGAAAGCCTCGGGTTATGGAAATACTTTCTCTTCTATAATCCTCCATGTGGACAATTCACCAACAACTTATGGATAAAACAAGGGATGACTTGTATTTGCTATCCATTTCCCTAGTACACCCTCCATCTTCCAAATTGCATGTGTTATGGTGCTTTACATTTTCAAGGGAAAGGAAGAAATTTTTTGACTTTGCGTAATTCAGTAGTTGCAGATTGAGTATGCATAGCTCATGATAAGTTAGGCCAATTTGCTGTATTAGATCAAGTTTTACTCGCTTCATTTTTAAGTGTAAAAAAGTAACCAAGGAAATATTTGATAGCCCAATATTTTCTTTTTTCACATGGAAAATTTGATTGCCCAATTTTAAAGTGGATTAGGTATGGCTTGCCCTGGATATGAAGCCAAAAGATGATTTCAAAAGAAAATACGACCAGAAACACATTTTAACTAATATAAGTATTCACCATCATGAAATAAAGATATACCCAATGCACGTCAAATACAATTATCCACTAGCTGTTTTAGGAACAGATACAAAGTTTGCTAACAGCACGAGAAGAGAGTCATATGAACAGGTTGCCAAACTACAAGAATTTGATACATTCAAACAACATTATGCAATAGAAGACTCAGATTAAGAAAACTCACAAGCGTTGCTTTCCAGGAAGGTTAGAGTCAATAGACTGTAAGCTATCAAGCCTAGTTCCTAATATTGTGATCTTCCTCCTTATTGAAGATGAATGACGCTGTGCTTCTGGGCCTGTTGCGGGCAATGAACTTCTTTCAGATATCATGTTACCGATGTCATCTGTGAGTTTTACTGCTTCATTATATTCCCTGATCCACGAGTCCCCAGAAGAAGCCATTCCCTGAAGAGACATCAGAAAGATAAGTACACAAACGATGAATAAGGGAACGTCCATGTCAGCAAACCCTCCCTCCCCCTAAAAAGGAAAAAACAACAACTTTCTATCCCCCTTTTCTGCCCATTGACAATGATTTGACTAATCAAAAAACACTGCAATGGAACTGCAAGAAGACTTCATCATATGACATGCACCTTCCTTACCATCACTCCTTTGCCACAACAACAACCGGGAAAAAGAAAAGCATGGCAAAACAAAGGACGAGGAACCATGTTTAAGTAAATCCAAAAACCTTAGGGTGTGCAGTGTTATCAAAGGCGAAAAACGCAAAAAAACTCTAAGGTCCGTTGGGGCTTTAAGCGCAAAGCGCAAATAAAACGTGGGCTTTAATGAAAAAATGCACAACTGGAGAAAAAGTAATAATATGTATATGTAGGCCAACATTAATAATTATAAGCATGAATAACAAATATATGGATAAAGAAATTGGAAAACAATTACGATAAAATGAAATATCAATTGTTTAACGTCGCATTTTCATGGTTACACTCATTGGCAAGGAATAGTATGCCTTAGAGCCTTGATGCGATACTAAAGCGCCCACAAAGCGAGGCGAAGCGATCAACATGTTTTGAGCCTCGCTTCAGGGCTTAAGCGCGCCTTTGGCAACACTGAGGGTGTGTTTGGTACGAAGAAAATGTTTTCCAGAAAATGTTTTCCAATTTGCCCATGTTGGGTGGCTTAAATGTTTTGGAAACATTTTTCTTGTGAACTCATTTTCCTCCAATTGAAGGAAAATATTTTCCCTATCAAGAGGGGAAAACATTTTCCAGTTTTTCAACTTTTCCCACTCTATTCCCCATCCCCACCAACCCACTCTCACACCCTACCACAT